GTAGGCGAGGTCTCCGGCAAGGAGACACGGAGCCAAAGGTTGAGCTGATGCACGGCGTACCGGACCGCAAACAGCCATAGAAAATGGGGGGCAGCCGCATGGATCATGGAGGTACGAGCGACCTCCATGACTAAGCCAATGCGGCGCTCAGCAACCCCATTTTGCTGCGGAGAGGCCGGAAGCGTAAGTCTGGCGGATGCCGTGCTCCGCACAGAAGGCGGCCAAGAGGTCTGAGAAGAACTCACCACCTCTGTCAGAGTGCAGACGCTGGACAGGAAAGTCCGACTGGAACCGCTCGCGGAGCTGGAGACGAGTAGCGCGGATCCATGGGATCAAAACAGCATGGACATCCCCCTTGCGCTGCAGGTGGCGTGGCCAGGTGGCGGCCGGTCTGGGAGCACGTGCAGATCGCCACACGCTGTCGGCCAGGGGTGAAGGTGTCAACACCCGCATCCTGGAGGACAGCGTTGCTCACCAAGTTTGTAGAGAACGAGGGGAGGTGGAGACCAGACAGCTCACCAGACAGGACCGCCGGACACGGAAGCACAGTGGAAGACCGTGCAAGCACTGGGCCCCCAGAGGGGTCAGCCGGTGAGACAGGAACAGGTGCAGGAAGGGGAGTGACTGTGGTACTGTCGCGAAAGAAACAGCGGGAAGCACCACAGTCAAGTGTAAAGGTGTGCAAGGCCTGTGCAGGCGCAGTACCAAGGGGAGCAGACTCACAAGCACCTAGAGCAGCAGGGGCTATACCAGGATCCGGCGGCACACACAAGTAGCAGTCACCCTCAGCACTAACAGACAATGCATACATAGCAGCTAGAATAGCCTCATAGTCAAGATCAAAGATTGGTACATCACGCCTAAGCAAGTCTGCCTTGTTGGGGAACTCAATAGCATCAAGAAACTTGGCGCGCCAGGCGTCGCTAAGTCGAGCGAAGCAGCGCTGCTTAGTGTGAAACCCTGTGCACTGGCGATTAGCGCGGGGACCTGTGCGGATGATATAGGGGCAGCAACCAGGACCCCCAGAAGCCCCACGCCCGGCATACCAGTCAAGAAGCTGTTGGGAAGTGGGGGTCTGGCGCTGACGCTGCTGCTGCTGCTGGCCCTAACCACCACTGCCACCACCGCTCCCTCCTTCCCCCACCGCCGCTGCTGCCCCCTCCACCGCCCCCAGTGCCTCCGCCGCCCCCACCACCACCTCCACCCCCTCCACCCCCACGACCACCCCCACCACCTCCACCGCCCCCGCCACCTGCACCACCGCCACCTCCACCGCCGCCCCCACCTGCCCTGCCACCCTTGCCGCCCCTGCCGCTGCGACGCTTCCCACTAGGAGCGGAAGCAGCCCCGACCTCCTCAGCCCCAAGGTAGTCGTGAGCAGCAGCTGCGGAGGCGTAGGAGGGGGTGAGAGGGGAGGGGGAGCACCCCTCAAATAGGGGAGAGCGAGGAGTGCCACGAGCAGCACCTACAGCGAGGATGTTCTTCTCTGCTACAAGGAGGTGCTTCTCGAAGTCGTCGACAATGAGAGTGGGGGGGTCGAGCGCTAGGAAGTGGTCCCTGACCGAGCTAAGAGTGTCAGGGAGGCGCGTAACGAGGAAATAGTGAAGTACATCAGGGGGGGGGGGGGGGGTTTGCGGCGCAGAACTTGGCTGAGAGGGCGGCACGAAAGCGAGTGTCAGTAGCGCGGAGGTGAGAAATGAGGTCCTCGGCAGTGGTGAACGAGGAAAGGTCGGGGAACAGGTAGGGTAGCATGAGCCGACCTATGGCTGCAGTGGCCGGGGAGGAGCAGCGCGCAACTACAGCGTCGTACAACTTCTTAGCAGTTTTGTGCTGGCTGAAATGCACGCGCTCAGTGATCGGCAGATGGTCCCTAATAGCTAGGCGTGCAGCAGCATCGCGAGTCTGCCACTGCGAGCGTTCGAGAGCAGGAGTATCAGCAGCAGGAGCAACGTCAGTGCCAGACATGTAATCGAACAGTGAAACGCCCTCTTTGGCATCGGTCAGAAGGAACAGTTGCAGGTCGTCTAGCCACACAGTGAACTCTATGGGACGACCATCAGGCTCGAACGCGAGAACATTAGGCGTCGTCATAATAGCAGTAGGCAAAGGCAGCAGAAAGCAGGCAGGTAGTAGACACGAGACAGTAGATAGTAGACAGCAGGCTAAGACAGAGGCAGTAGGCAGCACAGGCAACGTGCAGGGCAGTAGCTTGCTGCACCTGAGCTCCTAAGGTGGGGCTTTAGACAGTGGCAGGCCGTACAGTTCGAAGGCAGTGGGTTCGGCAGCAGTGAGCCTCACAGGCAAGTACACAAGTAGGGCGCGCACGGTTGCTGGCTGCGTGCGGCTAAGGGCCGCGCGTGGCTCTCTGCTGCGCATGGCTACGTGCTGCGCGCGGCTCCTGGCTGCACGTGGCGACGAACAGCGCGCGCGGGGGCGGCGGGCTCTACGTCGCGCGCGGGCGGCGGGCTCTGCTTAGGCTGCGCGCGGGCGGCGTAAGGGGCGCGCGAGCTCTACGTGGGCTACGCGGGCGACGCGGACCGGCGCACGCTAAAAATCAGAGACGCGCGCGCTAGAACCCGAGGCGCGCGCGAAAAAAAAACTAAGTGACGCGCGCTGCCGCCAAGGCGCGCGCGAGCAGTAGGCAAGGCACGCAGTTAGGTGGGCCCGATTCATAGGTCCTAGAGACCTCCTGCTCTAGTTACCATGTTAAGAACCTAAGGCAAGAATGAGTGAATTAGGTGAAGGCTAGGGTACAAGACTAGGGTGTCGAGAAAGTTTGTGTACCCCCTAGTGCTAACCCCCATACAGCCTAGATAACCTAAACAAGCATATATATATAATTTGCCATAATCGAGTTTGTTTGAGCACTAAAGAAGGTTGTCAAATCACAGTATATAATTGATCCAATGTGGTGTACATACATGAGTGGCAGCGGCTTGCTAGCAGACAGAAGGATATGCTCCGAATGCATTCTGCTGGCTGGATGGTTGGCATTGGAGAGGGCAGAGGTAACGAAGGAAGCAGTGGGCACGTGAGTGCATGGGAGGGAAAAGGTCAAGCTTTGATGCATGCTGGACCTGGTGTGCAGTGCACCTGAGCTTCAACCCAACCAGCCACCCGGCTTGGAGTGTCCCAAACGGAAAATTTCTGTTTCCCTCTTCACATTTTTGCCCTTGGTGCTTCTTACACCACCTTTCGAGAAGCACCTGCTACGGAAGAAGCAGCGCTGCTGTGAATGGCTGCAGATGGAAATACTGTGAGACAAACTGAATTCCTAAACCTGGAAGCGATGATTTCAAGAGGCATGCAGGAGCTGAAATCTTGCTCCCTTGAAACTTTCTCAGTATGCGTAGTAGTGTTCCCTTGAATTGAATCCTTGTTACACCACCTCTCAAGGAGCACCTGCTACGGGAGGAAGTGCTGCTGTATGATGACTGCAGATGACAACATTTGAAAAGAAACATCTAAAGCACACAGAGCTGGCCGCTGATAAGGCTCGACATACCATACTCCCACCAGTTTTACATTCTGAAGTGATGATGATTCCTATTCCATCCATGCTAGATCTGCCCGTGCTGCAAGCATCACACATCACCTCCCTGGCAGCCTCACTTCCCTGCATGCCATGCGATCATGTTGAGGCCAATGCTGGAAGCAGCTGCAAGGAGTCAAAGCGGGAGACATGGGGGGGGGGGGGAGGGAGGAGGTGGGTCGGGAAAGGGAAGGAGGGGTTGGGGGTGCCTGTCTGCTGCCACCATGGAGCAGAGGGAGGAGGGAGGACGGAGGGGGGATTGGATTGGGTGTTACCAGGCAGTCCTGATGCAGGAGATGGCGAGAGAAGTGAAAGGTGTTGTAAGCGGGTGAAAAGGTCAGGCGATGGTTACGCTGTAATGCTGGAATTGGAGCGGATCAAGGTGATGGTGGGAAGAGCAGGAGGATCCATGATAGGGAGGAAGAACACTTGGTTGGTGCATGGGATTTATGTATGTTGCCAAGGGGAACAGCATGATGGGATGAAGGGGATAGCATGCATGATGGGATGAAGGGGATAGCATGCATGACGGGATGAAGGGGATAGCATGCATGATGAGATGAAGGGGATAGCATGCATGATGAGATGAAGGGGATAGCATGCATGATGAGATGAAGGGGATAGCAGGCATGATGAGATGAAGGGGATAGCACGCATGATGAGATGAAGGGGATAGCATGACGATATGACCAAACTGCTGAGAGCTGGCTGGGGGGAAGGAGGAGAAGATAGAGGGGACAAGCGCAGGCATTGGAGGAGCTGAATGGGTTGGCGAGGGATGTTGGGTGTGCGCAGGGAAAATCAAGGCACCAGGAAGGGAGGGAAGGAAAGAGGGGGGGACAAGGGAGAAGACATGAGAGAATGGAAGAAAAAGTGCCAGATAGGAAGGGCACGAATGGGAATAAGACCGGGGAAGGAAGGGGAAGGGAGGGGTGGTGAGGGAGGGGTAGCTTGTCTCACCTGTCATGATGTCATATGCCACCCAGGAGGGGGTTCGTGGTGTGGTCAGCTCCTTGTGCCGCTTCACACATGATTTGGTGGACCATGCACACACCTGTAAAGATTGGAAGAAAGTGAGACAGTCGTGAATGAGCTGTTGTAGAGAAAGCAAAGTGCTTCAAGAAAGGCAAGGAGGGGATGGATGGGGAGGAGAATGAATGTGGTGGCAAAGATTTGGGAATGCGGCAATTCTTTTGTGAAGAAATCCCATAGGTGTGCTGCTGGAGCGAGACATGTGACCCTGCAGTGCAATTCACCGCCTGAAGACATGCCCACAACATTGTACAGTGTTCACAGCAACGGTGGAGGGGAGCAATTACGAGTGAATAAGCAAACTCATGCTGGTTCGTCAGAAAGCACTTCACATGCTCGCACACACCTTCGGACACAGCATCAGCTTGCAAGCAGCACCTCTCCATTCTTCACATGGAACCTAAAAGCCGAGTTGTTCTGTTGCCTTGCTATTCCCTCACACCTCCCTTTTGCCTGCCTCCCTCCACACCCCGCTGGCCAACTCCATCGCCACCACTCCTGCTGCTGCTGCTGCTGCAGTTGGCGGCTCCGCCACGCCGCCCAGCAGTGTGCTGTCGTGAGGGGCCATGCTGCCGTGAGGGGCCATGCTGCTGCCACGCTCACCAGTGGTAGAGATGAGATGGAACTCTCCCAGTTAGTACAGTACAGGTGCTGCTGGTTCGGAAAGTGGAAGGGAGTGGGTGGGAGCCAGGGAGAGGGCGAAGAGGGTCAGGGCATAGAGAAGGAAGGGGGAGTGGGTGATAGCTGATGGCACCACACTCAAAAAAGCGGTGTTCAGGTTTTTTTTTTATCAACAAATTAATACCAGAAGCACCATGCCGGGCGCGTTTGAACTAAGGCACAAAAGGAGAAAGGTTTGATTAGTGACATTGGATGAAAAAAGAGAGGCAAGGAGAAACTGACTTGCATTTCATACTTGGCTTCTTTCACCTGCACCTTCACATGCCTACCTCCCTGCCATCAGTTGAGAAGGCGTTTGCAATCGCTGTAACGACTCAGTGATGCATCAATTCATAGCGATGGGAGCACGGGAGCATGGGTGCACGGGAGCATGGGAGCATGGGAGGAGCATGGGTGCATGTGAGCATGGGTGTATGGGAGCATGGGTGCATGGGTGCATGGGAGCATGAGTGCATGGGAGCAAGGGGGTATGGGAGCAAGGGGGTATGGGAGCAAGGGGGTATGGGAGCAAGGGGGTATGGGAGCAAGAGGGTATGGGAGCACGGTTTCAGCATGCCAGTTAATGGCAACCATGAGAGATAGGAGAAAAGCAATGAACAATATGGGTGGGCGATGCAGCGCACTGCCTGCCCTCTGCACTTTACTCATGCTGACAGTTTCCTACTTCTTCATTTCTGCCCTCTGTCCCAGCCAGGCATCATGCCCTGCCCCCCCCCCCCCCCCCCCCCCCCCCCCAGGCAACACACAATGCCCTTGAGCACCCGCGTTCATGCCCCCTTGATGAGATAACATATATAGACGAATCAGACATTCTTCCATTGTTCGAGGGACAATAGAATAGAAAAACGGCTAATCCATTACAGAACAGAGCATCCAAGGCTATCCAGGCAGGCCTGCCCTCACATAATTGCCCTATCTCGCTTGAGGGGCCCTGCAAGATGCCGAGTGTGATAGGCACAGGTCGATGCTGCAGCATGAAACCCAGATCAACAAAAATATTGCCCTCCAGCAAGCCGTTGCATCCTCATGCATACATATGCAGGGGGAGATAAGTGGATACCACTACTACTCCCACTCCTTGCGAACTCCTGCATGTACTCCCCCAGTTCTTCACACCCCTTGCCTCCACGCCTCTCCTCCAAGCAGTCACAGTCAACTCTGCCTGCCCTCATGTGTCTCCCTTCCATCCGTCACCCCATGTCCCCCTACCTGCCTATCCACCTGAGCACATTGTCATTGTAAACCACATTGCCATTTGGAAGCTGGAGATCGGTCAGCTTGGTCAGGGCAGTCAGCTGCTTCAGCCCATCATCTGTGACTGCCGTGTCATGCAGCCCTAGACCCTCAAGCCCTGTCAGATTTCCAACATGCACCATGCCAGCACTTGTCACTCTCTCGCATTGATCAAGTCTCAGCTGTTCGAGAGAGGTCAGAGCAGTCAAGTGCGCCAGACCAGCGTCGGTCACCTTCGTACAATAGAGATAGAGGAACTTGAGAGTAACCAAGGAACCAATGCCTCTTAAGGAGCTGTCGGAGATGTCTGCGCGTTGGAGGTCTAGCATCTCCAGTCGTGGCAGCCTATAGAGGTGCTTGATGCCCTCTGCACTGAAGCCTGAGCTAGATTCCAAATCAATGCTCGTCATATGCGTCATGGTGGACACATGCCCGAGCATGGCGTCTGAGACCCCGCTGAGTTTTGCTAGGTTCAGAGCCGTTCCTTGTGATGCTGACTTGATTCGCTGGAGGTGATACATGAAGGGGGAATGAAAACCATGAAAAGCAATGCCAATCATGACAACTCATGCCCTAACAAACAAAGCATGCAATCTGCAACAGTTCACTCGGCACTCACCTGCCATGCTGTCCTTTCATCGCCTCCAGTCTGGCTAATTTGCAGGTCAACATCCACCTTCATGCCAGCATCCTTCTTTGCTGCCAGCTTCCCCTTCACTGCAGCCAGCTCTCGCTCCATCTGCTCCACCATCCCTCTCACCCCAATCAAATCCGCTTCTCGTCTCTCAACCTCTTGCACATCCCTCCTCTCATCCCTCTCGCTTGCTAACTCCGTTCTAAATTCATCCTCTCCATTCCCAGCCTCTCCTTTCAGCTCTCTCAAATCTGATTCTCTTCCTCTTTCAGCAATCTTGTGCTCCTCCTTCACTGCAGCAACCTCCCTCCTCACTGCAACCAGCTCCTCCCTCTCCTCCACCTGCCCTCTCATCTCCCTCATCTCCGCCACTCGTCTCTTCTCAGCCTCCTCAAACTGCAATTTTATTGACTGCTTGTGTTCAGCCAACTCCTGCTTCATTGCTGCCAGCTCCCTCTCCCTCTCCTCCATCACAGCAGCAATCGACCCATTCCTCTCCTCCACAACAGTCAGCATGTGCCCCAATTTATTCACCTCCTCCTTGTATGCAGCCAGCTCCTCTCTCACTGCTGCGAGTACCGCCTCCTTTATAAACTCATTCAGTGCACTCAGCACATTCTCACCAGCCATATCATCCACTCACTCCCCCCAAACGACCCTCGTGAAAATAACTGACTGATTCTTGCGTTGAACTGTCTTTCTGTCTTCGCGAAAAAAAACAGAAATTTAGAGGAGAGATTGGAGAAGAGGCTTGGTCAGTGCAGTGCCACCCACAAACAAAACCAATCACAGAAGCGTGAGGGGCGAGGCCGTGATGTGAGTAAGAGAAGGGCTGAGGAGAAAAAGACGAGGGAGGTCTGATGACAAGATGTGGGAGAATGGATCAATCGCATCAGAAGGCAGAGGAGAAGGTTGTGCAGACCCGTGCATTTGGCATGAATTCGGATGGCAATGGAACAAGGAGAGGCGAGGAGGAGCAGAGAAGAGAAGAAGTCAGAAGGGCAAGATTTGCGAGCAAAGACTGCTGAAAAGGGCCACCGGCGCGAAAGGTTGCAGCAAGGCAGACATGAATGCACAAGGTGATGGGCGGACACTTGCTGACTCTGGCTCACGAGATGGAAACGACCACATAGGGTGGTGATGAGTCAAGTGGTTCACTCCGACTCACGAGCCAGCAAGGGCACAAATAGTGGGAGGAGAACGTAGAAACAGGTGGAAACTTTCTAAATGAGTGAAACGGAAGCACAACAGCAAGCGGACCAGTGAGAGGGACCAGAGAAGATAAGAGAAGATGGCCAGGTTGGAAGGGAACACAGAGGGGGCTGGTATGGAGGCGATGTACAGCTATTCAAATGAAGAGAGCTGAATGAGCAGAGCTGCCATAACGTCCTGGGAACAACAGTAGTAGCATAACAATGGTTCCTGAGAAGGCAAATGCCGTGCAAGAGAAAGGAGGGGCAGAAATCGATAAGTAGAAAAGTAGATGGGTTGCATCCTAAGATGCCAAAAACGCTCAGACCTGTTTGCGTTTAGCGGATATCCGCTTGCGTATACACGCAACACGCTATACGCAAGCGAATCCGCTATACGCTCAGCAAATTTGTTTTGGGGCAGCCCGGGCGGAAAAAAATTCGAGCATACGGAAAGTTGCGGAATTTCACGACGTGCATTTTGCCTAAGGCGAATTGCACGTACGTGACTTGTCCAATCGTGGACGTGGCTTTTTGCAGAAGGCGAATTGCACATACGTGACTTGTCCAATCGTGGACATGGGTTCAACCCACGTCGTTGAGATTGGTTGTGTCAATTTGACAAGTCGCGTATTCACGCACACTTTGTGCGCTCTGTTTGTTACCGCATTCAATCCCCTCCCATCTACTCACTCCAACCACCTGTCCCAATGTTCCCTTCTCTTGTTGTGCTACTCAGTGGGTTGCAAGCAACTACACAATTCATCAGTTTCCCGTCTCTTTCGTAATGTCTAGCCCGCCATGCACACCGCCATCCGTTCAGACAGTGCAGAGTTCTCGGATTGTTCGACCCGAGGGTAGGGATTACCTTCCCGACATGCCGGACCACGCTGTCTTCGAACATTTCAGCCTCATTGTGCGGGAAGAAGGCAAAGCACAGCAGTACGAGTGTAATTACTGCTTCAATGTTTTCACCGGTGCAGCCGTTCGTTGCGCGCAGCACTTGAGCTCGTGGAAGGGAATGAAGCGTCGCGAGGTGACGCTTTGCAAGGAGGCACCACAAGACGTACGCAAGGAGATGCGCACCAAATACGAAAAGATGGCAGCCGCGATCGAGGAAAAGCGCCGAGCAACATCCGCCGCAGTTGCAGCGGTCCAGGCGGGCGGTGGGAAGCAGCGCATAACCAACTACTTGGAGGGAGATGCTGCTGCGGCTAAGCGGGATGCTCACGAGGGCCTTGCGCTGAGGTTTGCGGCCTGCAGAATCCCGGAGAACACCATAAACCACCCGCTGTTCATCAACGCCATGCTGCTCGTCAACCGCGCCGGCCACGGCTACATCCCCCCCAAGAGGAGTTTCATTGGCAGGGCTGAACTGGTCGCTGTCCGCAAAGGAATTGAGCAGGGGTTGATGGGGATTAAAACGAGCTGGAAGAAGACGGTGGAAACAATTGCGTCCGATATGATGACGGACAAATGTGGGAGGGCGCAAGCGAACGTGCTTCTGATTAACGACTCTGGCGCCGTCTTCAAGGAGGCGATCGACTGCATTATGGAGCGTAAGACGGGGGGATACATAGCGGGGATTCTGCAGGTGGTGGTGGAGGAGGTAGGACCAGAAAATGTCGTCGCGTTTGTATGGATTGGGGGGACGAACTATGCCGTGGCTGTCCAGGAGCTGATTGCCAAGTGGCCCCACATTCAACAGGTCCATTGTGCCACGCATGTGATGGATCTCCTCCTGGAGGACGTGGGAAAGATGGGGTGGGCAAAAGGGGTGGTGGATCGGACTGGGGAAATGATTTTGTTCGTGCACAACCATCATTGGTTGCGCGCTTAACTGAGGACCAAGGAGTTGGTGGAGGGGAAGGTGCTGCAGCCGCTGGAGCCGGCGGGAACACGGTTCGGGACACAGTACATTGCTATGTCCCGCCTTTGTCAGTTGCGTAGCACCCTCAATGCAATGGTGCTTTCCGACAGGTGGAAGGAGTGGGCCTCGGGGTCGCGGAAGGAAACTGCCGATGCCTTTGCTGCACGGGTCATCGATGACGCATGGTGGCGGACGGCTGAATTCTTCTGCAAGCTGATGAAACTGCCCTACAAGGCGATGCGTCAAACTGACGCAGATGCCAATGGGATGATGGGCCGGCTCTACGATGTAATGCTGCAGCTTACGGAGGATGTCAACAACATCTTGGACGAGGATGAGCAGCAGCTGAGTGGCACGGACAAGGAAAAGATCCGCAGCATCATCAAGAACCGCTGGGGCAACAACCTCACCTGCGCCATGCACGTTGCTGGCCGAATCCTCAACCCCGCCAACCAGGAGGAGGACATCTTCGGCAGCGACGCCGAATGCACCCAGGTTTTCAAGGCATTAATCAACCAGCACGTGGAGTTCCTCATCGGTCACGACGGGAAGGGGACGGATGAGGGTCGAAATTACTTGCTTGCCTTGGGTGACGGGCTGAGAGCTTTCTTGGACCTGAAAGGTAGTTTTGGGATGCCGGAGGCGCTTGCACAGAGGGAGAAGGTGAAGGCGGGTAAGTACAGCATGGTGAAGTGGTGGCAGTGGAACGGCACAGATGCACCTCACCAGATGCACTTCGCCGTGAGGGTGCTATCTCAGCCTGTATCGGCATCCCCTTGTGAGCGTGGGTGGGGAACTTGGGATGCACTCCACACAGCCCGCCGGAACCGCCTCGGATCTGCAAAGTGCCAAGACCTGGTTTTTGTTGCGCACAACTGGAATGTTGTGCGCAACTGGCACTCGGGCGCAGATGTAATCCGAACGTTGTGCCAGGAATTGGGGACGAGCCTCCTATCCCCGAGGGGTACAACAGGTTGGATGAGACGAAGGCGGAGGAGGAGAAAGGCGAGGATGACGTCCTGGAGGACGATTGCGCTTAGAACTAGGGTGGCAGGAGAGTAGTAGTGACATGTGTGTGTGTATGGTGTCGTAATCTTATTATGGGGGAAAAAAAAAAACAGTGCTACAAAACCCCCAAAATGCCCAACTCCTCCCCTCCCCCAAACATCCCTAAGTGGTTTCTTTTTCCCTGCCCGGGAAATAATTTTATTGCCCGGAAAAGCGTATCCCAAAGTCGACCCCCTAAGCGGATAGCGTGCATACGCTAGCGTATATACGATAAGCGTATATACGCAATAAGCGTACTTGGCAACTTAGGTTGCATCTATTTCGTATTTCCTAACCACAGCGAGAGGATCTGAAAGAACAAATATGGTAAAGAATTACGAAATTAGTACCATTGAGCAAGGGGCTGAGTGGTGGCTTGGCCGTTTGAGTTCTTTCAACCAAGACGGAAGTTTCCCGAAGTCGACTTGCAACACGGCAGGGAATCCAGCTCGGCTCTCAAAGAGCTCGACAGCTTCGGATGACGGGGCTGACAGCACGGCTCGGGTCGTGCTGGTTTTCTATTACACACTTTCCAGGTCAGACTCTGACGCTTTGAATAACATCCTTTCTCGAATCTCCTTCATTGGATAAGGTCAGCGGAGAGCGTGAGACATGCCAGATTCTCTGAGGTAGGGTGTGAGAGACGGGGTGGCTCACGAGTTGCGAGGCTAGCAGCAAGCCCTACAGCTTGCTGAGAGCATACTCACCTCGGGCATCGGATTTGAGCAACATATCGGACACGAATAGACTCTGGCTAGCAGCGAGCCAGGCTCGGCTCAGCCATGACACAAAGCGAGCTGACGCGGGTAGCAGCGAGCCAGGCAGCTTGCTGAGAGCCTACTCACCTCACTCATCAAATTCGAGGCACACGTCGAACACGCTGGCTCGCAGCGAGCCAGGCTCGGCTCAGCCATTGCTCATGCATATAGCCAAGATCGATCCAGGCCCACCATTACCCTAAGTGAGCTGAAGTGGGTAGCGGGATCGAGTCGGTCATGGATCACACACCGCAGTATTACGGAACGAGTGAGTCGAAGTGGCCGGGAGGGGTCATTGGTGGTAAGGAGAGTGGCTGGAATTGTTCTGACCTTGAGGCTAAGTCAGTTACGACATAGTTCACTCAAAAACTAGGTCGGTCACAAGCTAGGCCACTCACAGCCTGTGAGTGAGCAAAATCACGAACGTCTGTTCGGTTCGCCTCGAACACGTTCGAGACAAACTGAACAGGCTTTTTTTTTTTGCCTTAAGTGTTTGGGGCGAACATGTTCGATGTTCGCCCGAACATGTTCGATGTTCGCCCGAACATGTTCATGTTCGGGGCACTGCTGCAATGGTCCCGCGTCGAACACGAACGTGTTCGAGGTTCGCCCAAACTGACTAGGTCACTCACTGACTAGGCCACTCACTGACTAGGTCACTCCCTGACTAGGTCACTCACTGACTAGGTCACTCACTGACTAGATCACTCACTGACTTGGTCACTCAATGACTGGGTCACTCACTCACTAGGTCACTCATTGACTAGGTCACTCAATGACTAGGTCACTCACTGACTAGGTCAAGCACTGACTAGGTCACTCAATGACTAGGTCACTCACTGACTAGGTCACTCACTGACTAGGTCACTGACTGACTAGGTCACTCACTGACTAGGTCACTCACTGACTAGGTCACTCAATGACTAGGTCACTCACTGACTAGGTCACTCAATGACTAGGTCACTCACTGACTAGGTCACTCCCTGACTTGGTCACTCACTGACTAGGTCACTCACTGACTAGGTCACTCACTGACTAGGTCACTCACTGACTAGGTCACTCACTGACTAGGTCACTCACTGACTAGGTCACTCACTAACTAGGTCACTCACTGACTAGGTCACTCAATGACTAGGTCACTCACTGACTAGGTCACTCACTTACTAGGTCACTCCCCGACTAGGTCACTCACTGACTAGGTCACTCACTGACTAGGTCACTCACTGACTAGGTTACTCACTGATTTGGTCACTCACTGACTAGGTCACTCACTGACTAGGTCACTCACTGACTAGGTCACTTACTGACTAGGTCACTCAGTGACTAGGTCACTCTCTGACTAGGTCACTCACTGACTAGGTCACTCACTGACTAGGTCACTCACTGACTAGGTCACTTACTGACTAGGTCACTCACTGACTAGGTCACTCACTGACTAGGTCACTCACTGACTAGGTCACTCACTGACTAGGTCACTCACTGACTAGGTCACTCACTGACAAGGTCACTCACTGACTAGGTCACTCACTGACTAGGTCACTCACTGACTAGGTCACTCACTGACTAGGTCACTGACTGACTAGGTCACTCACTGACTAAGTCACTCCCTGACTAGGTCACTCACTGACTAGGTCACTCACTGACTAGGTCAATCACTGACTAGGTCACTCACTGACTAGGTCACTCACTGACTAGGTCACTCACTGACTAGGTCAATCACTGACTAGGTCACTCAATGACTAGGTCACTTACTGACTAGGTCACTCACTGACTAGGTCACTCCCCGACTATGTCACTTACTGACTAGGTCACTCACTGACTAGGTCACTCACTGACTAGGTCACTCCCTGACTAGGTCACTTACTGACTAGGTCACTCACTGACTAGGTCACTCACTGACTAGGTCACTCACTGATTAGGTCACTCACTGACTGGGTCACTCACTGACTAGGTCACTCACTTATTAGGTCACTCACTGACTGGGTCACTCACTGACTAGGTCACTCACTGACTAGGTCACTCACTGACTAGGTCACTCACTGACTAGGTCACTCGCTAACTAGGTCACTCACTGACTAGGTCACACACTGACTAGGTCACTCAGTGACTAGGTCACTCACTGACTAGGTCACTCACTGACTAGGTCACCCACTAACTAGGTCACTCACTGACTAGGTCACTCCCAGACTAGGTCACTCACTGACTAGGTCACTCACTGACTAGGTCACTTACTGACTAGGTCACTCACTGACTAGGTCACTCACTGACTAGGTCAGTCACTGACTGGGTCACTCACTGACTGGGTCACTCACTGACTAGGTCACTCATTGATTAGGTCACTCACTGCTTGGGTCACTCACTGACTGGGTCACTCACTGACTAGGTCACTCACTGACTAGGTCACTCACTGACTAGGTCACTCGCTAACTAGGTCACTCACTGACTAGGTCACCCACTGACTAGGTCACTCAGTGACTAGGTCACTCACTGACTAGGTCACTCACTGACTAGGTCACCCACTGACTAGGTCACTCACTGACTAGGTCACTCCCAGACTAGGTCACTCACAGACTAGGTCACTCACTGACTAGGTCACTCACTGACTAGGTCACTCGCTGACTAGGTCACTCACTTACTAGGTCACTCACTGACTAGGTCACCCACTAACTAGGTCACTCACTGACTAGGTCACTCCCAGACTAGGTCACTCACTGACTAGGTCACTCACTGACTAGGTCACTCACTGACTAGGTCACTCGCTGACTAGGTCACTCACTGACTAGGTCACTCACTGACTAGGTCACTCACTAACTAGGTCACTCACTGACTAGGTCACTCACTGAGTAGGTCACTCACTGACTAGGTCACTCACTGACTAGGTCACTCACTGACTAGGTCACTCACTGACTAGGTCACTCACTGACTAGGTCACTCACTGAATAGGTCACTGACTAACTAGGTCACTCACTGACTAGGTCACTCCCTGACTAGGTCACTCACTGACTAGGTCACTCACTGACTAGGTCAATCACTGACTAGGTCACTCACTGACTAGGTCACTCTCTGACTAGGTCACTCACTGACTAGGTCACTCGCTGACTAGGTCACTCAATGACTAGGTCACTTACTGACTAGGTCACTCAGTGACTAGGTCACTCACTGACTAGGTCACACACTGACTAGGTCACTCAGTGACTAGGTCACTCACTGACTAGGTCACTCACTGACTAGGTCACCCACTGACTAGGTCACTCACTGACTAGGTCACTCCCAGACTAGGTCACTCACTGACTAGGTCACTCACTGACTAGGTCACTTACTGACTAGGTCACTCACTGACTAGGTCACTCACTGACTAGGTCACTCACTGACTGGGTCACTCACTGACTGGGTCACTCACTGACTAGGTCACTCAGTGACTAGGTCACTCTCTGACTAGGTCACTCACTGACTAGGTCACTCACTGACTAGGTCACTCACTGACTAGGTCACTTACTGACTAGGTCACTCACTGACTAGGTCACTCACTGACTAGGTCACTCACTGACTAGGTCACTCACTGACTAGGTCACTCACTGACTAGGTCACTCACTGACTAGGTCACTCACTGACTAGGTCACTCACTGACTAGGTCACTCACTGACTAGGTCACTCACTGACTAGGTCACTGACTGACTAGGTCGCTCACTGACTAAGTCACTCCCTGACTAGGTCACTCACTGATTAGGTCACTCACTGACTAGGTCAATCACTGACTAGGTCACTCACTGACTAGGTCACTCACTGACTAGGTCACTCACTGACTAGGTCAATCACTGACTAGGTCACTCAATGACTAGGTCACTTACTGACTAGGTCACTCACTGACTAGGTCACTCCCCGACTAGGTCACTTACTGACTAGGTCACTCACTTACTAGGTCACTCACTGACTAGGTCACTCCCTGACTAGGTCACTTACTGACAAGGTCACT